AAGGAATTCTGTGCCAGAGATGAAAGCACAATCCCAGTGGATGAAGTGTTTTTCCACAGGTAATGAAATATTTGTGAACATTTATTGTACGTGTTATTTTTGAATGCAGTGCTGCCAAAAATTACATTTTGTAAGTACTGTCTCATATTCCAAATTTTGATTAATTTGAGTGACTTTGTAATGATGGCAGTTCTCACAGAACTCAAGTTTTGTCAAAGAGCCTAGGAAAGAATGGAGCTTACAAAGACAGTTGGTATTTGTGGTTTATACATCGTATAAGTCAATATTTTAGTGGAGAGACCTTAAACAATGAATGATCATGAATGACTTGTGTGTTGTAGTTGTTATGTATCAGAAGATATAGATATTGGGGCTTTTTAAAAGAAGAAAATGGAAAAAAACAAAACAGCTTAATGGGAGCGTGACATCTCTATTAACTGTGAAAACGGTCCTCTTTCCTGTTGGTTGAATAGCTTTTCCAAACTGTGTTGCAGCAAAGGCAGGCGTGCAGGTCCTGCTAATATTTTTTATTATCCGTGGACAGAATTCTGAAAGTAAAGGAAAAGTAGTTTAAAAGCACACCTCTGTGTGAGAAGGTAACAGTGTGCTACATGGACAGTGACTGTAACTGAGATCACCTTTTTAAAGGCTTGTTTAGAGAAGTGCAGTATTGCCCCTGTATGATTTGGGATGTCTCTGAAACCATTAATTTACGCTTTTCAGTTGGCAAAATTGCATGTAAAACAGATAATCCGTATTTTTTTAATTTGTCGTAAGAAACATCAGATGTAATCTTGTGATTGAGAGCAATGTGCTATTTATTCCAGATTTTATACAAAGTTTGATAAAAGGAAAGAGAAACCAAAACGTCAGGAAGATGAAGAAAGCGTGGAAGACGTAGATGATGATGAATTTGAAAGAGCACTGGGTAAGGCCACCTTTTCCTATGCAGTAAAAATCTCAGTACTTCCTGCTTCTGCGATTAAAAATAAATTCTGCTTTTAAAAATAATGTAAAAGAACCAAATGGAGTATCATAGAAATTAAGAGTCCATAGACTCACTAGAAGGGCACCTTGAAAGCAGACTTGCCTCTTACAACTTTAATTGAGAGCTTTTCTCATAGATTAAAATTGTATAATTTAAAATATGAATTCCTGAGTGGCAGTTCATGCGTTGTTCTTTCCCGAATGTAATCTGTGAGTTAAATAGCTTCCAGCACTTTGTAACACATATTCTTTCTTTACTACTTGGCATTCTTTTAAAATCTCATAATTTCTGTCATCATTCCTGACCTCAAGGAATGTGCTATTTATTCGTTTATATCTTTGGCAAATTTCTGCAGTGGTCTTAGCCTTCATTTGCAATGACTTTGCAGTCTTTTTTTTTTGACTTTGTCTTGCAGTAACTGAAAAATTAACTTTTTTTTTTCCTCCTCAGATACATTTGAAGCTGCTGATAGCGCCATTGATGTTAGCCAGGATGATCTTGATTTTGCAGGGTAAGACTTTGAATCTCTTCTTTCCCTCTCCTGTTTTGATATCCCTATAGAATTTTACTCTCTGAATTGGAATGACCTTTTTCAAAAATGCCCAGGAGCAGCAGTAGCAGCTGCTTGCTGGGCATCCCTCCTTTCCTACCTCGCCCACAGCACAGCCTTCTGCTCCCAGGCTGTTCACAACCTGCTGGCTTGAAGTGTGAGATCTGTAGTGGTCTATTTAAGCAATGCAATGACCCAGAAGTAAAGTCCCTCTTTTACCTGTTTTTCTCAGTCTCGGGTTTCTGTCTGGGATTTACCAAGCACAGAAGTAAACAGGATGAGGGATAATGGCACTGCTGCTTGAAGCAGCTCACAGGTTGTAACTGGACCTAACATGGTGAATACTTTGTGGGATCCTACATCAGAGAGCACAGTTCTCAGGAGGTGAGCAGTGCCATTAATGGTTAAGTACCTTCCTTTTTGTTTAAAATATCCAGAGAACAGCTTTAAAAATAACACATGAAGTTTTTTAGAGGGAGAGAATTAAACTTTCAGCAAAATCTGAACATTTTTGTGAGTCAGAATGGAGTGAGTAAAAAATAGCAAAGGGAAGACAAATCTAGAACTGTATTTTTCTTCTTTAATTAAAAAGGCTAATTTTCCCATTTAGTAGAGAAATAGAAAATAGAAATAGAAAAAACAAATAAAATCACTTAGGAGAAAAAAATGTTATCTGGAGGCGTTCCAGGCATCTGTTTGAAGCCAGCAGCCCCTAACCTACCTTCTAGTATTTTGCCAAGTGATGTGCTAAACTTATGTATTTTCAGTAACATAAAAAAGGAAACCACAGGCAGTAAAAAGAGTCAAAGAAACAAGAAGTCCGATGATGACTGGGAGGATTCTGAAGATGAAGATGGGTTTGGTGAGCTGGATGATGAAGAAGTCTCTTTAGGAAGCATGGAGGAAGATTTTGGAGAGGATGTGGATGAAGAAGGAGGTGTATTTATGGATGCATCTGATGATGAGAACAGCCTAGGTAAAGTAACTGTTATCAGAGCTTGAAAAGAAAGTGACATCAGCTTTATAAATGTGTTATTGATATATTTAAATTTGTATTTAAATTAATGTTTAATTACCTAGATGATTGGCTACAATCATCCTAGCCCTAGAAGATTTGGCTTTTAAATGAAGTAACTTAACTAATGTCCTTCTCTGAACAACAGGTCTTGAGATCAGTAACAGTTCTTGACTCTGTCTCCTAGGTAGGAGGGGGAATTAGGTGTCTTGATTTAAAAATTTGCAAACAAGACATGCTTTCTTCTGAAAACATCAGTAGCAAAAGCAGCCTTAGACACAAATGCTACACAATGCAAAAGCTGTAAAATTTTTAAAGCACTAAAAAACTATAAGGAAAAAAAAAAACGTGCCTGGAATGTGGTTTTTTTTTTTTTTTTTTTTTTTTTTGACCTAATTAATGTTGATTTTTAGAGGAGGTACCTTCTAAAACTGTAGCACGTAATAACTCACGTATGCTTACACACCCAGATTTTTATTTAGTCTTAGTAAAACTGCTTGCTGGATATTTATTTTCAATTGAAAGACTGTTTACCCTTTGTTAACACTTTGTGGCTGGGGAATCACTGATTAATGGATTATTTCTACTAATAAGGTCACAGGAAGACAACTGAGGATAAAGTTGGTAAACTTTAGCTTAAGTTGATTTAGCTGTTAATATATTGATTCTTCATAAGATTATTACTCTGTCAAGCTCACCAAGCAGACCTTCGAAGTTTATATTACTCAGGCTTTTGTTCTGTTAAGTCTCCATATATATATTATATATATATTGTATTTCTCTTCTTTCTTGTGCTATGGAAGAAAAGCTACAAGAAGAGCATACCACTGAACACTTTCTAAAACTGTGTGAGTTTAGTAGATCACAATTAAGAGTGTGCCCACCATGGTTCAACCTTTCATAAAGTAAAAATTCCAACTATTATCACATTATGACAAATATTTCTGATATATGATTTTTTTTTGCAGACTTGAGCAATGACAATGAAATCACATCTGTCAGTAAAAAGGGCAAGAGAAAGAACAATATTGATTTTGCAGGATCGCTTGGAGGTAAGCAAACACTCTCATGATTTCCATTTGAGAAGGTTTAATACAAATACAGAGTTTAGGAAACTTTGGAATCAGAGGGGCTTAGTAGGTTTTTTAGTCTTGGATTTCGGTTCACATTTGGATAAACCATAAATGAAAAAGAGCTGGTGTTATCCTTGACCTCCAACCAGTATGACGCAGTTCAGGGTAACTTTCTCCCCGCAGAGGACTGGAGATTGAGAGGCGTGTGGATGTGCGCTGGAGTCTGATCATACAAACGTCGCAGGGACTATGGCTCTTTAGCCCCACGTTGAAAACACTTTTTCCCCTTCTGTTAGGGGAACAGGAATATAGAAACTTTTTAACATAGCTATCTCAGACATCTTAGTAAATAAAAATAACCTTTAAAAATATGTTAAGATTTTTGTTTTAATGTCATTGTGAGCTAGAAGTGCTATCTGTAAGAATAATACTTTTTTACTTTACGCTTTAATATTTTCTTTTTTATTGAAGGATCCAGCACAAGAAAAAAGAGAAAGCTGAAAGATGCCAACATGCTGGCATCTGCAGAAGAGGTATGTTTGGTCAGTTAATAGAATACATACATATGCATTTCCCCTGTTTGTCAGTAATTAAATACTAAAATTTCTTTTTTGAAGTTTGGCTACCTGCTGGAGGAAAACGCTGGGTCTAAGTTTGACAACATTGGGATGAATGCCATGGCGAACAGGGATAATGCAAGTAAGTACATGCTGCAGGGATCCTATCTTCATAACACTGACAAGCTCCTTTCCCTTCAAATCCTCTACACAAACACATGTATCTTATCTGAAACACACATAGGGCCAAAGAGCAAATAACAGTAGTAGCAGCTCAACGTCAGTAAGTCATGACTTCAATTAAAAGATGCTCAGTGCTAATTTTAGTTGTGACTACTGCACACAAGTACAGCTTCAAGGAGGAGAAGAGGTTACAGTGTGCCCCTTCCCTGCAAAATGGAAAAAAAAAAGAAGGAAAAAAAATGTAATCACTTTTCTAAGCTTCTTTATATGAATTTTGCCTTGAGGAAGAGTGTAGTAGCACTTGGGTCATTCTGAAGCATAAGGTATAGCTCTTTATGTCTAGCTATTAAAATTTGTTCATTGCAGTACTGGTAAAACAAAAGCAGTTACCCATAAATAAAATTAATTAAAAAAAAAACACAATTAATTAAGTAATTTCTAGATCCCCTGCAATTAGGTAGCAACAGAAAATTGTTAGCAGCAGCAGTGAAAACCCTGAGTACTTCTATATGAGCCTGTACACTGTGAGGAAAACACAAACAACTTCCAGAAGCATCCTAAACCCCAAGCTGCTGTAATGGTAAGATTGTATTTCATGAACTAGAAAAGACTTCCTTTCACGTCAGAAAAAAAAAAGGAGGAAAAAACACCTTAAATTTTATTGGCTTTTATAAATACAGTAGCGAAATTAACTTTCACATGATTTATCCACATTCTATACAATAGTCAGAGGATGGACACTTTACTGTAATTGTCCAAGCTATTAATCAGTTCCTTATTTCTCATCTTCCTTCTTTGCTCTTACAGGTGTCAAACAGCTCAAGTGGGAAGTGGAGCGTGACAGATGGCTTCACAATAGGGACACGAAAAGTATTATCAAAAAGAAGAAACAGTTCAGGCACAAAGGGCTGAAAAAGAAGTACAAAGGCAAGAAATCAAAAAGATGAATGCCATTCATAAGTGTACATTTTTACAATAATTGTGCCCTCTCCTTCTTACTTCAATTCTTGCTGCTTAGCCATGTCATTCGGTCATTCTCCCTTATGCCATGGATTCCAGCCCACTCGTTGCTTTTGTAATAAACTGAAAAATAGGAGAATCCGTATTAGTTGTAAGCTGGGCCTGTGTCTGAAGGTGCCCCACGTCGGGGCAGCTTTGGTTGCACGTGGCTGTCCTCTAGCTCTGCGAACTCTGTCCAGCTGTCTGACACTCCAGCCACTCCAGTACGGAACCATGCACGGTTCTGCTTAAACTTACCACAGGATAATAAATAATTATTATAAAAAACAAATGCAATAATAAAATCTGTTTTGGACATAAGCTGCAACAGGCGCTCCAGGCATCCCTTTGAAGCCAGCAGCCCCTAACCTACCTTCTAGAATTGATGGGAATCTCTTCTGCATTGTGTACCTGAAGTCTGAGAAGGAAAACGAATCAAAGTTAATATACATGGCATGTTTTGAATCATGTTATTAAATGCACTGTTTTTCTAACTGACCTTTTCCTAGGGTTGTTGTAACTTTGAGATACCATTAACTGTGCTCTGAACTGACTTTTGTTTTGCGCTCAGTAACTCCATTCAGGGGGCAGGACTGGGCTTCCTCACGCTGGTGGCCAAGCACAAGTGCCAAATTTACTATGAGATGTCCTAAGCTTCTCCTCGGTGCCACCGAGGGAAAACCCACTTATGTGCAATTTAGGTTTTCACTCAATTGCTGAATCTTGTCTGCAGCTTCACCAACACAGCTTTTATTGTGTATTATAAAATAATTTGTTAGGTGCTAGTACCAGCATGATGTAAATGGTGTGAACAGGGCCTGGAGATGAGGCTCATTCTGAGCAGTAAGCTGTTGAGCTGTCAGCTGTGCATACCATATCTTTGCAGAACTACAGCTTAAGAAAACTCCTGCAAAGAGAAGCACGAACTGTGAAGGAGAGCTGATAATAAGGAGAAACCATGCAAACCCAGTTACTGAAACATGCCACTGCTGCTACTCTCCAGAATGTCACGTACTTCTAAATAAAAATGTACAGAAAGAAGGCATGGGACAGGCCGCCTGCATCTAAACTTGGGAGAGCACCTACAATCTGACTGTGCTGGTGGCGTTTCTTACTCAAGTTGCCCTTGGTATAAGGGCGCTGGGGTGCCTTCCTGGCCCCAGCCCTGGCTGCCGCCTCGTGCAGGGCGTGCGGGCGGCAGCGCTGCCGGGCTCCAGCGCAGAATGAGGCCCTTGCTGTGGAGCCCAGACCTGCTTGCAGTAACTAAGGCTCCAGCGCAAGCCCTGGAGAGCCACGAATGCAACATAGAATCACAGAATGCTTAAGGTTGGAAGGGACCTCAGGGGTCATCTAGTCCAACCCTCAACACAAGGCACTTGCTGTGGAGCTCGGACCTGCTTACAGTAACTAAGCTGGTGCCTACCTCATTTGTGTGCTACCTGCGCCAGAAGCCAGACACGCTAAAGAGAGTGCTGTCTACGCTTCTGGAAACGGTCAGGACACAGAGCCGGGAAAACTTGGAACTGAGCCACGGGATCCCTTCAAGGTCTGAATCAGGAGGGATCAGCTCCTACCTAAGGTGGTAACTGCCTCATCTTTCTAATCTGGCACTTGGTATTATTAAAATACACAGTTCTGCCTTTATACAAACTGAACTGAATGTGCCAGCCCATTCTCCAACAGCTCTCCCTGCGCTTCCATGCGCACAGCGGCCAGGCCGGCAGGGCAGCCGCTCCCGCTCTCCCGGAGAACCGGCTTCGTCCCAGGCCGCGGGCGCCGCCCGGCCCGGCCGCCTCTGCCGCCCCCGCGGCGCCGCCCGCCC